ATATTATAAAAAAATATAACAAAAAGCTATTAATATTTACCTGCATTGCCCATGGGAAGCCAAACAAATTGTAGGTGCTTGGTTTATCCTTCTCGACCCATTGGGCCTGCTTTAACACCATGTCTGGTTTTTTCAGGCTGTTGATGGTTTGCTCAAATGATATTTGTCCCCACAGATAAAAATTAAAGAACTCCAAGTCGCTTGCAAACAACAACCAATCATTCTCAACAGCTTTTGTTGAGTCACTAGCCAATAAGATCGAATGTAAAGATAATAGCAAGCACACTTTTATCTTTTCTCCATCATTAAACCGAACTGTTTCTAGCCTCTCTTCTAAAACATGTCCTGTAATAGACTTTGTCCCTTGCAAAACTTTCTTACGAAACCTTTTGGCTCTCGAACTCGTCCTTATTGCGTCTGCCTCTGCCTTATCTGGCACTTCCCCGCATCCTAAGCCCGTCACCAAGGCATATTCCATCATCCCAAACCGTAGTGGCTTTCTGTCCACCACGAACCAAATTTTTTTTTTTTATTGCATTTTACTGAGTGCAGCAACATGTAATGCACTCCCTGCCCCCAAAATGCCTTTTTCCAATTTGTTCCGATTCTTAAAAACTGATCGAAACAAGTGCGACGAAAATCTCTTGCACCATGCCTCATTGCAGCTAAAATGTCCCTTATTCTGTCAAAAACATCCCAACTCGATCTCATCGTCACTCTTGCAGGGAAGTAGGGTACCTTCTCACTTATAAGCTCCAAATCGAGTCTCTACAGTTTACGGTCTGCACAATCTGCATAATCGATATAAACAAAATGTCAGCAACAAAAATAAACCAAAACAACTAATAAACAAAATATCAGTAACAAAAAATTACCACTATAGTCGCTTAAGCGATTTCGGATCGCTTAAGAGATCTTGACTCTGCCTCGTGCAAGATCGCTTAAGCGACCAAGAGTAAACTGAAAGAATCTCTTAAGCGATCTTATATCTGTGATTCTGCCTCGACAAGATCGCTTAAGCGATTTGAAATCGCTTAAGCGCCCAAGAGTAAACTGAATCAATCGCTTAAGCGATACAAAGGATCGCTTAAATGATCTTAGATCTGGGCAGAATCTAAGATCGCTTACGGCCCAGATCTAAGATTGTTTAAGCAATCCTTTGTATCGCTTGAACGATCATGAGTAGAAGAGATTAAACGATCATGAGTAGAAGAGATTAATCGCTTAAGTGATACAAATGATCGCTTAAGCGACAGTACAAGCAATATTCCCAAAACAAATACGTACCCTTTCTTCGCCGGCCTCCTCCTCGTCGCCTGAATCCTCGGACGACTCCTCCTGGCTTGAATTCTCGCCACACTCCTCGTCTTCAGAACCATTTGCCGATTCTTCCTCTGTTCTTGTGCCATCGTCGTCTCCTCTGCTTGTGGACCACCTTCACTAATCGGATGATCCACCGGAGCAGCCATTGAACTGCTTGCGCCACCGAAATCTAGGATTCGAAGTGGCATTGGGTTTTCCTCCTCATTGTGAGTGTCAGCCATGGTTTTGGATTGAATTTGGTGTCAAAGTTTGCAGTTTCGATGGGAAATGTAGACTGTATCGCCGGAAATCGCACAGATTCTGTTTAGGGTTCAAGAAATTGATTTTAGGGTTCAAGAAATCGATCGAAAATCGCGACTATATCGCTGGAAATCGCTATTGTGTTCTATTTAGGGTTTAAGAAATTGATTTTAGGGTGCAAATTTGCAGGTTCGATCGGAAAAAATCGCAGTGTCTCCCTTTGGTGCAAGAAATCGCTTTTTGCCCTAATGAATTTCGATTAAGCGAGGTGAATAGGTGGGGCTTGTTTTGATAAATTTCAAATTATTCGGCCCACATATGTTTTAATCTTTTTATTTTAATCCATTTTACGTGTTTAATTAATCCTAACTATGCCATGTCATCTTCTCTAAATTAAAAAAAAATGAAAAACATTTTCAAGGCCATTTTCTTAAATCGAAACTTGGAATGGCCGGGCAGCTAAATTTTCTCGATTCTTTCAGGTTCGTACTGTCAACTTAATTATTCGTCTCAAAGATAAAGAGCAACAAAGTTAATCAGAAACTGTTGAAAATTTATATGAAGTTCAGGTTATAAACCATGGAGTTAGTATTTCATTGCTAGAGAAATTCAAGCTGGAAATTGAAAATTTCTTCAAACTTCCATATGAAGAAAAGAAGCAGTTGTGGCAGGAGCCAGACAACCATGAAGGATTCGGGCAGCTCTTTGTGGTTTCAGAGGATCAAAAGCTAGACTGGTCAGATATGTTCTATATCACAACCCTTCCACTTAATCTGAGGAACACTCAACTCTTTAACAAGCTTCCTCCAAATCTCAGGTGTCTCAATCTCTCTATTTCCATCAGCCCAATTCAACTCTGCTAATTAGAGCTATTATTTATAACTCTCAATCGGTTTAATCTGCCAAATCCATTTCATTCAATCAAATTAAACCTGTCTTGGTCTCTGTAAAATTAATTTGAAACTGTTTACCATACACTTTTGTCGTTATGGTTTACAAATGTGGTGATTAATTCTAAAAGTACTGTAATCCATAGAATTAGATTCATGTTTCACATGGAACAGTCTGATAGATTTATAGTTTAGGGTCTAGTGGTTTATTAACTACGAGAACTAAGATTTGATGGAGACATGCCATTAACTGCACTGACTTAGTGCTGCTGAGGAAAGTTTATGTTGACATAAAGATAGTGATTTTTATGTTCATCTTCATGAATTTGGTGCAGAGAGGTGTTAGAAATTTATTCCATGGAAGTGAAAAAGCTAGCTATGGGAATATTAGATCACATGTCTAAAGCATTAAACATGGATTGTGAAGAGATGAGAGATAGTTGAATGATGGAGTTCAATCAATGAGAATGAATTATTATCCTCCATGTCCTGAACCAGAGAAGGCCATTGGTTTCACATCACATTCTGATGCTGACGCTCTCACTATTCTCTATCAGCTCAATGACACTGAAGGCCTTCAAATTCGCAAAGATGGGGGATGGATTCCAGTTACACCGCTTCCAAATGCTTTTGTAGTCAACATCGGAGACATCATGGAGGTAAAATTTGCTTTTGAACTTCTTATACTACCGGGAAAAACTCTGTTCTTGCATTGGATAATGAAGCCACTTGGCTGTAAATTATGACCAGAATGCTATCCTAATTTAATTTGAGCTTTTACTCTGACAAATACAAGATAAGATTCATGACATTCTTTGTTATAAAAAATATTATAAAATGAAAAATCTTCATGGCATATAATTGAGAAATAAATTCATAACATAGATATTCTTAAAAGTTCAAAAGAATTCAGATAGGAAAATGACCATTAACCTATTGTTGAATATAGTGTATATTTCTCTTAGCTTTGATGGATTGTCTGCTTACAGCGATTCATTTGGGGGTGAGAGGGCAACGCCTCTTTCACGGTAAACCCACTGTCTAATTGAGTTTAAAATTAATTTACTAATATTTGTATCTAATTGAGTTTAAAATTAGTTTCCTAATATTTGTGCTTGAGTGGGTTAGATTTGGGTAAGTCTAAACGGAGTTAAGTTTCTAGTATGTATTTTCTGTAATAATAAAAAAACTACTGCGAAATTGCTATTTATGACATCTCTAATTTGTATATACAGATTGTGAGCAATGGCATCTATAAGAGCATTGAGCACCGAGCAACAGTAAACTCAATGAAAGAGAAGCTGTCTGTAGCAACATTCTATAGTTCCAAGCTAGACACTGAGTTGGGCACGGCACCAAGCCTGATTCGCCCAAATAGTCCAGCGATTTTCCGGCGAGTCCCGTTGGAGAAGTATTTCAAGGAATTTTTTGCTCGGAAATTAAATGGCAAGGCGTACCTTGATTTTATGAGAATCAATGGATAAAGAAACTGTGGAAGCCAGTAAGATTTGGAGTCAACTGTCATTCTCAATGGATTCGTTTACGGCCGTGGAGACTTGCAGAGTGTATTAACTGTTGTGATTTTACTTTTACATGAAAATCAATCTTCTTAATATCGAAAAAGACAGACTCACGTGTATTCTCGTATTTCACATTAATATTTGGCAGTGGCGTAGTTCCACTGCAAAAGTTGGATTTTCCAATAAAGCACAGCAAAAACCTTGCAATTATGTGATAATTAATTAATCAAATTACGCTTTCCCAGAAACTAATTGAGATCCAGCTAGCTTTGCCAACATGCTAAGACTATCTGAACTCTAAAGTCTTGGAACTCAAGTCTTCTTCACTACGTTAAAGCACCATTCTCCATTAATTATGACATGAAATTCAAAATGTAATTGATAGTAACAAAATCATTGTCACTTGAAAATTCATGTGTTATATATCATACTAATAATAATTGTTCTTAAGTATTAGTGTTAAAGTCTCACATTGATTAAAAGACGAAAAATTTAATCGTTTATATAGTACAAAGACCATGTATGAAAACCAACCTATCATGTCTTTAGAGACCTAGAGATGTATTTTCAGCACAAAACCGTATATGCCCCAGATCTGTAGATAATACCAATACCTTTGGAGACCCACCAACTACGGCATACGATTTGCCCCAGTTGTATTAAAGGTATATGTGTATATAATTTGCCCCAGTTGTATTAAAGGTATATGTGTATATAATTTGCCCCAGTTGTGTTAAAGGTGTATGTGTAGAAGATTTTAGCCAATTACTTTTGATGCAAAACTATACGAATATTTATTAATCCAACGCCGACCGACCTGTAATAGAACTTCTAAACGAAGTTTATTAGCTAGAAATCTGCAATCTCCAGCTATTTTTTTTCGTATGTGTTCACTTCACGCATCTTACATTATCCATCCTGATTGTGTTTGTATATGTATATATATTATATATATAGGTGCCTCCGTGTGAGATTATTTCCAGTAACTTTGCGTACCCATATCACATAAGCACTCTCTCCTCTAAAGATGACAACTTATAGCACTTTTCCTAGAGTTCAAATAATCTTTTTGCTTTTTTTCTCAGTGGGTTCTTTCATGGCAAATGGCGATAATTTTTACCAAGATGTTGACTTAACCTGGGGTGATTATCGTGCTAAAATTCTCGACGGAGGAAAGTCTCTCTCGCTTACTCTTGACAAAACCTCCGGCTCCGGGTTTCGGTCCAAGAGAGAATATCTATTTGGAAGGATCGACATGGAGCTAAAGCTAGTTTCTGGAGACTCTGCTGGCACTGTTACTGCTTATTATGTATGTTCTTGTCTCCATCTTTTAATTTATCTACTAATGCATATTCAATACATAATGAAAATCATAACGTATATATACAGATTTTCTCCATTTTCTGTCTATGTATATATTGTTGGAGTTGTCGACTACTTTAGCATTAATGGGTAACGCTGTAGGATTTCTTTTAAGTTGCTGTAGGATTTCTTTTAAGTTACTAATTCCTTATTGGGTTGGGCTTAGGAATAGGAATCCTTGTAAAACTAGATTTAGTCTCTTAAACCTAGTATATAAACATACTTTTCTCTTGTTATGATGTGATAGCAAATCATAGGGTAATTCATTCATTGTAAACGAGAGAGGTGAGGCATATTGCAATAATATTGACTCAACTGGACGTAGCCCACATTGGGTGAACCAGGGTAAATCGCGCGTGTTATTTTCTTTGTTTACTGTTTGATTTATTTTATTATTATATTTTGTTCCTGTTGTTGCCTCTATTTCATTCAATTGGTATCAGAGCAAGGTTTTGTTAGATTGTGATTTAGAGATGGCGGGATCAAAGGTTAAGACTGAGAAGTTCGACGGCAAATGCTTCGAGCTTTGGAAACTGCGGATGGAGGATCTACTCGTTGATAGGGACCTGTGGGGTGCAATTGTGAATGATAGGCCGACAGTCGGGACTGCCGTTGTTATGACGAGTGAAACGTCTAGAACTGCATTGTCAAGTACGCTTGGGTCTAAACCTGCTGAAGGAGAATTATCAGCGACTGATCGTGCCACACTTGCTGAATGGGACAAGATGGATCGGAAAGCCAGAGGTTTGATTCGCATCTGTCTTGAGGACTCTATTCTAAAGAATGTGATAGATTAGGATAAGGCTAAGGGTTTATGGCAGAAGATAGAAAATATGTATCTGAGTAAGTCTTTGGTGAACGTGTTGTTCCGTCGCAAGAAACTCTACAATCTCCGTATGCATGATGGGGATTCTCTTGCTGCACATCTGGATGAGTTTAATACTCTGGTGAATCAACTGCTGGCTATGGATGTGCAACTCACCGAATCTGAGAAAGTGGTCACATTATTATGCTCGCTGCCTGATACGTGGGACAACCTGATTGTTGCAATTGGTGGTGGAGGATTGATACAGATGTCGTGGGAATCTGTATGTTCTACATTATTGGTAGAGGATATGTGGCGAAGAGGTTCAGAGGGTTCGTCTAGGGATGCTTTAATTGCTAGGGGACGAAACCTTGATAAGAATTCTAATAAGTCTGGCGACAGGGGAAAGTCGCGAGGTAGATCTAAGAGTAAGGATAAAAGTAAGATTAAATGCTGGAGATGTCAGGAATTTGGGCATTTTAAGAAAGACTGCAGAAACAAACCGGTGAAAGGGAACGAAGCTGAAACTTCGTACAAATGGGAATCAAATAGTGATATGTATGTGGCTGCTGCATGTATGGCTGGATCAGACCAATCAGTCTAGTACGTTGACATTGGTGCGTCATTCCATATGACACCTCACAAGGAATAGTTTTGTGAGTATGAGACATACAATGCAGGAAATGTTCTGTTAGGAGATGATACTGCAGTGAAGATTATTGGCCGCGGAAAAATCAAGCTGAGGTTGCATGATGGTTCAGTGAGGACGCTCCCTGAAGTGATGCACATCCCTGGTATGAGTAGAAATTTGCTCTCCGTTGGAACAATGGCTGATGCAGGTATAGTATTCAATTGTGACAGAACATGTTGTAAGATGACTTGGGGATCTGTGGTTATTGCATGAGGAGTTTGACATGGTACACTATACAGGCTGCAAGTATTAGTTGTAAGAAATTCCTCTTTGGGTGGTTATGTTTCAGAAAAAAGAGGCTGAAAAAGAAATTGATTCTGCAACATTGTGGCATCAGCGAATGGGGCACATTGGAGAGACGACTTTGTCTACTTTGGTGACTCAGAATATGGCTGAAGGTATTCCAAACTGTTCCATGAGTTTTGGGTTTTGTGAGGAATGTTTACAAGGCAAGAAGAATCGGGTTAGTTTTTAATCGATAGGCACGAGAGCAACAAAAATACTGGAGTTAATTCACAGTGACGTTTTTGGGCCCACTCTAGTGGAATCTATTGGTAAATCCAGGTATTATGTATCTTTCATTGATGATTTTTCTAGATACTATTGGGTTTATTTCATGCGCAGCAAGTCTGAGGCTTTTGAGAAATTTCGAGAATTTAAAGCCTTAGTTGAGAATCAGTTTGATAGGAAGATTAAAGCTTTGCGAACTGATAATGGCGGTGAGTTTTGCTCTAGTAAGTTTGAGCAATTTTGTGCGACACACGAAATTGCAAGGCAAAAAACTACACCTTACACGCTCAGTAAAATGGAGTGGCTGAACGTCTCAATCGGTCACTGTTAGAGAAGGCTAGATGTATGCTAAATACGACAGATTTGGGGTCTAAATTTTGGGCTGAAGCTACCGCAATGGCTTGTTATTTGAAGAATCGGTCTCCCACTTCTTCTATTAAAGACATGACGCTGTATGAAGCTTTGTATGGTAAGAAACCTATTCTATCTTTTATTCGAGTTTTTGGTTGTGATGCGTATGTGCATGTGCCAAAGGAGAAGAGAAGCAAGCTTGACAGTAAATCTGAGAAGTGCAAGTTTGTGGGGTTCAAGGATGGCATCAAGGGATACAAGTTGTGGAATCCTATGAATAGAAGAATTAAATAAAGAAGAGATGTAATCTTTAGAGAGGTAAAACAACGTGTGGGAACTCCTAAAGATCTTAAGCAGTAAAAGAAAATTCAGTTTGATGTGACTACAGTAGAGCAAGAGGAGGAGCTCCTAATGTTACTGCAAAGACTGAAAAGTTAGAGTCTACAGAAACTGACCATGAAGATAAACTTGATAGTGTGGCTGATGAGGGTTCTATGGATGATTCTGATGATGAAGTTATGGTGCCATCAACTTTGAGGAGATCTACAAGAGTTAGAAAGGCACTAGTTCGTTTCTTTCTAAGTGCCTTGAGTGGATTACATGCTTTGAATGTATTGGTGATGAACCTAGGAATGTAAATAAAGCAACAGCCATGGAAGATGCAAACCTGTGGGAGGTTGCGATGAATGATGAGATGCAGTCATTGGACAAGAATAGTACATGGATCCTATGTAAATTTCCTAAGGATAGAAAGGCAATTGGTTGCAAGTGGGTGTTCAAAAGAAAGTTGCAGGCAGATGGGACAATTGCAAAGTATAAGGCGAGACTTATTGCAAAGGGATTCTCGCAGATTGAGGGTGTTGATTATGGTGAGATTTTCTGTCTTGTGGCCAAGTTAACATCAATCAGGTATGTTCTATCTATTGCTGCTGCGTATGATCTTGAAATTGAGCAACTTGATGTAAAGATAGCATTCTTACATGGAGATTTAGAGGACGAACTTTACATGAGGCAACCTGAAGGGTTTGTATGTAAAGGGAAGGAAGATTTGGTATGTAGGTTGAGGAAGTCTTTGTATGGGCTTAAACAATCACCAAGGATGTGGTACCAAAAGTTCGACTCCTATGTTCTTTAGCATGGTTTTAGCCGCAACAACGTGGATCACTGTGTGTACGTAAAAAGGTTAGAAAATGTCTTTGTTATTTTAACCTTATATGTAGATGATATGTTGCTGATAGGGAATAGCAAGGAGTTGATAAATTCTGTGAAGGGTTTGTTGGCTGCACAATTTGACATGAAAGATCTTGGGGTTGCAAATTTTATTTTGGGTATGCAAATCACTAGAGATCGTCAGAGTTGTAAATTGTGGTTAGGGTAGAGAAAGTACATCGAGGAGGTGTTGAAGAAATTTTACATGGTAGACTGCAAACTTGTGAAGCCTTTTATGACTTTGGGAGTAAAATTGTCTACTGATCAGTGTCCTAAGTCTGAGGAAGATGCTGAAGAAATGACACATGTACCGTATGCGAGTGCTGTAGGTAGTTTGATGTATGCCATGGTGTGCACGCGACCTAATATTGCACAAGCAGTGGGAGTTTTGAGTCGCTTTATGTCAAATCCTAGTAAGGAGCATCTGAGTGTTGTAAAAAAGGTTCTTAGATATCTGCATAGGACCTCGGATTTATCATTATGTTATGGAGGCATGGCGACTGGGGATGAGCTAGATATGATAGGTTTTGTGGATGCTGATTGGGGAGGTGATCTTGATAGTAGGTGTTCCACAAGTGGGTATGTATTCTCTTTATTTGGTGCTACTGTTTGTTGGATGAGTAAAAGGCAAAGTACTGTGGCTTTGTCATCGACTGAGACAGAATACATGGCATTTACACATGCTGGCAAGGAAGCTATATGGCTTCGAAGATTGAGTTTAGAGCTTGGTTTCAAGCTTGATGCTGTGAAGATTGGGTGTGACAATCAAGGGGCTATTTACTTAGCCAAGAATCCTACCTTTCATTCACAATCAAAACACATTGACATACAATACCATTTCATCAGGCAAAAGGTGGAGGAAAAATTTGTGTTGTTAGAGAAGGTTGATACACTTGTTAATATTGCAGATTTTCTTACCAAGGCTGTGAGCTTAGCAAAGTTTACATGGTGTGTTGATGAGGTAGGCCTTCATTGTGTGAAGTATTCGCCAAGTGGGAGAATGTTAGAGTTGTCGACTACTTCAGCATTAATGGGTAATGCAGACGCACTCAGCAGTGACCGGGCGGGGGTAGCGCCCCCGAGCCCGTAGGCGGTTTTGGGCTTTCCATGTATAACCGCTCTAGGATTTCTTTTAAGTTACTAATTCCTTATTGGGTTGGGCTTAGGAATAGGGATCCTTGTAAATCTAGGTTTAGTCTCTTAAACCTAGTATATAAATATACTTTTCTCTTGTTATGATGCGATAGCAAATCATAGGGTAATTCATTCATTGTAAACAAGAGAGGTGAGACATATTGCAATAATAGTGACTCAGCTGGACGTAGCCCACATTGAGTGAACCAGGGTAAATTGCGCATGTTATTTTCTTTGTTTACTGTTTGATTTATTTTATTATTATATTTTGTTCTTGTTGTTGCCTCTATTTCATTCGTATGTCATATTCTTTTTTTTTTCCAAAGTGCATGGTAATATATATCAATTTAATTTTTGTTGCAGCTATCTTCTGAAGGGCCAAATCATGACGAGATTGACTTCGAGTTCTTGGGGAACTCAAGTGGCGAACCATATATTGTCCACACTAATGTGTACACTCAAGGGAAGGGGAACAGGGAGCAACAGTTTTACCTATGGTTCGACCCAACCAAAAAATTTCACACCTATTCTATTGTATGGAATCCTCAACGCATCATGTAAGATATACGTATAAATGTTTAAAACAAACATTCTTACTTTAGATAAAGATTATCTTTATGTGCATGAACACATACAATTTTCTAATAAAATTTCTGTTTGATGATCGGATCAGTTTTTTAGTTGATAATATCCCCATAAGAGAGTACAACAATGAGGAAGCAATTGGAGTTCCCTTTCCCAGTAAGCAACCGATGAGGGTTTATTCGAGTCTGTGGGACGCAGACCAATGGGCAACCAGAGGCGGTCTAGTGAAAACCAATTGGTCTAATGCTCCTTTCACAGCCTATTATAGGAATTTCAATGCCAATGCCTGTGTTTCGTCACTTGGTTCATCTACTAATTGCGGTTCAAAGATGAGTAAGTCTATTCCCACAAACAACGGTTGGCAAACTCAAGGTCTTGATGCAAATGGCCGAAGATTTTTAAGATGGGTGCAAAAGTACTATATGATTTACAACTATTGCGCAGATTTGAAGCGATTTCCCAAGGGGCGCCCTAGAGAATGCCGGCGTTCAAGGTTTCTGTAGGAATGTATATAATATAATTTTTATGCACAAGTTTGTAACATAAAAGTATTTTGCTCAAACTTTTGGCATGGTTTGTTTAATATTCTTCAGGAGACTTCTGATAAGTCAAATAAATAAGGTTTTCTTAAGTTCATGTTAATTGTTATGGATTAACATTTTTTCGTGATATGATCATTGGTGATTAAAAATAATAAAATTAAATTAAGAAATTAAATCTTTAGACTCATGTACAATAATGAATATGTATGAGTGTGAATAAAGTAAGCAACTTTTTCTCAACCAAGGTTTGCCTCAATGACACTTTTTTATGCAAAATTTTTCATAATACCTCTCCCTTTAGCATCTGATTTCTCGCTGATTGCCAGTGATTGCAAAGTTAGGGTTTCTTGTACTTAACTAATTTTCGATTGATTTCGGTGACAAATATTTAATCGACCACCATCATTCGATCTATCGACCATCACTCTACAAAAACTCTCTTACCCTGGCTCTTGGTAACTGGCAAAACGTTGGATGAGAGAGTGAAATGCATGTACTTTAGGTATTAACGGATATAAACATTGAGTGAGAAAGTGGTATTTTGAAACTTTTTGGGTGAAAAAGTGTTATTAAGACAAACCTTGGGTGGGAAAATGTCGTTTACTCTATTCACACTCATACATATTCATTATTGTACATGAGTTTTATGATTTGCAAAAGTTCAAAAACTCAAATAAGAAAATGATCATGATTTAAAATTATTAATGATTTTTAAAATGAATAATTAAATTAATGACATGATTTCATTTACTTAATCGTGATGCCTTTGACGTAGTAGCTAGCTCATTGCAGCATACTAATATAAGGCCATATATATGATTTTTTTTTTAATCCTTTTTTTGGGGTTTCGTACAGCTACACTCAAATTCAAAAGTTTAATTACTAAAATTAATTCTCCACATGGTACTCATGTCCCTCCATAGTCAATACTCAATATCATCATACATGATTTATTAAAAATCTTTAACCTTTCAGCGCACATTTTATTTAGAGTAAACGACTTTTTCCCACCCAAGGTTTTCCTTAATGACACTTTTCTACCCAAAAAGTTTCAAATTACAACTTTCTCACCCAAAATTAATATTCCGTTACTATCCAAAATACACTTCACTTTCTCAACCGGCTTTCAACAAGTTACCATGAGATAGGATAAAAAGGGTTTTGTAGAGTGGAGGGCGGTAGGTCGAATAGTGGAGACCGATTGAATATTCGTCGTCGAAATCACCCGTAAATAAACTAAGAACAAGAAACCCTAGCTTTGCAATGGTCAACAATCAGTGAGAAATCAGGTGTCAGAGTGAGAGGGGTTTTGTAGAGAGTAGATCAGATGTTCAAATTGTGGTGACGGAGAGAACTTTCGTCATTGGAATAGACCAAAATCAGCTTTGGGTAGTAACAAAATATTAACTTTGGGTGGGAAAGTGTCATTAAGGCAAACCTTGGGTGGGAAAGAGTCTTTTACTCTTTTATTTACCTGATACATTTGTCATTTTTTGATGCGTCATAGGTAACCTGATACATTTGTCATTTTTTGATGCCCAATAGGATATTTTACATGGCACACGTTAAAATCACAATCATACATAAGTCGGCACAAGATATCTTTGTATAATCCATCTTCAATAATTTTCTCCATCAAATATAGAACAAGTCATGGAGAGGAACTAAGAATCGCGTAGATACAAACAAAAACGTGTTATTTTCACCGTGATAGACAGTCAATTGAGAGTGACTAAAATCGCATCGATATAGGTCTTTGTTTCGAATTTTTTGTTTGTGTTAGAACAATGTTTTGTTGTGATATGAAGAATTTCTTGTGGTGAAAGTTAACTGTCGGTGGTATTTAAAGTTAACTTTCTTTATAGTTTTGTTCTTTTAAAAGAGTTTGTCTCCGATGTGTTAATATTTATTCCTTTTTGTAATTTTTTGATAAAAATGTTGATTTTGAAACGAAAGTTTTGTTTTGTAAGAGGGGGAAAGTAGATAAAGGAGAATGAATTTTTTTTTTTTAAATTCAATTTATATCTCGCCTTCCTCCTAAATTATCTACTTTGTGAAAAAAAAAAAAAATCAAACGCTTATCACACATTTCACGAGGGAGGAAAAACTAAAAACATGAAAGGTTCATAAACAAGGAAGAGTTAGCACAATATATATTAATGTAAGCCTTAACGAGTTACCACACATAAGTTACTCTCTCTCCTCTCCTCTCTCTCTCTCTCTCTCTCTCTCTATATATATTTATATATATATATTATATATGTATGTATATCATTTGACACATTCATCATCTATTGCCACCTCTGACAATGGCAAAAGGTTTTCAAAATTTGTAGCACCTAGTGGCTAAATAGCAAGATTTGACCTCTGGCAATGGCAAAAGTGGTCACAATTTGCGGCACCTAGTGGCTAAATGGCAGATTTGACCTCTTGACAATGGCAGAAGGTGGTCACAATTTGCAGCACCTAGTGGCCAAATGGCAAGATTTGATTAGTTTGGGGTGGCAAGGATTACTATATAAACTCTTCCCTCTTTGTAATTCTAGTGTACTAAAACGAAAAGATAATAATTTTCAGCCCCCTTTATTGTTCTTCTATTTACAATAGTCTCTTATCCTTCATTAGTCATGCATTAGGCCTTCTAATTGTTTTAATTTCGTAATTATTATACAACACGTTATCAGCATGAAGACTAACAGTATGACGTTGCACCTCTATTGAAAGTAGTACTTCGATCTTATATGTGTTCTTTATTCTTTATTTCCACCTTTAGGCTAGTTTACTAATTATTTCGAAAATTTTTGTTGTGTTTAGAACAATGTTTGTTGTGATATGAAGAATTTCTTGTGGTGAAAGTTAGTGCGGTGGTAATTTAAAGTTAACTTTCTTTTATATTTTGCTCTTTTAAAAGTTTGTCTCCGATGTGTTAATATTTTATTCCTGTTTGTATTTTTTGATAAAAATGTTGATTTTGAAACGAAGTTTTGTTTTGTAAGAGGGGGAAAGTAGAAGAGAAGAATGATTTTTTTTTTTATTCAAATTTATATCTCGCCTTCCTCCTAAATTATCTAGTTTGTGAAAAAAAAAAAAAAAATCAAACGCTTATCACATTTCACGAGGGAGGAAAAACTAAAACATGAATAGGTTCATAAACAAGGAAGAGTTAGCACAATATAATTAATGTAAAGCCTTAACGAGTTACCACAACATAAGTTACTCTCTCTCTCTCTCTCTCTCTCTCTCTCCTCCTCTCTTCTTCTCTCTCTCCTCTCTTCTCTCTCCCTCTCTCTCCTCTCTCTCTCTCTCTATATATATATATATATATATATATATATATTATATATATATAATATATATATATATATATATATATCATTTGACACATTTCATCATACTATTGCCACCTCTGACAATGGCAAAAGGTTTTCAAAATTTGTAGCACCCAGTGCTAAATGGCGATTTGACCTCTGGCAATGGCAAAGGGTGTCACATTTGCGGCACCTAGTGGCTAAATGGCAAGATTTGATTAGTTCGGGGGTGGCAAGATTACTATATAAACCCTTCCCCCTTTGTAATTCTAGTGTACTAAAATGAAAATAAATTTCAGCCCCCTTTATTGTTCTTCTGTTTGCAATAGTCTCTATCTCATTAGTCATGCATTAGTCCTTCTAATTGTTTTATATTTCCTAATTATTATACAACAGTTATCAGCATGAAGAGCTTAACAAGTATGACGTTGCACCTCTATTGAAAGTAAGTATTCAATCCTATATGTGTTCTTTAACTTTATTTCCACCTTTATGGCTAATTTACTATTATTATTAAATTTTGCCTCTATGGTAGATTTACTCATTATTATAAATTTTACCTCTATGGTCGGATTTAGTCATTATTGTTAATTCTGCCTATATGATCAGATTTATTATATTGTTAAATTCCCCTCTATGGTCAGACTACTTATTATTGTTAAATTCTGCCTCTATGGTCGATCTATTTATTAAATTCCGCCTTTATGGCTAGATCTTTTATTATTATTGAATACCGCCTTCATGATTGGATTTGTTTAATCTTGTTAATACACCTTTATGGTTAATCTATTTTTATTAAATTTTCGATAACCAATGTTAGCAATTGTGCTTCCATATTATATTTGATAAATGAACTTGAAGTTTTATAAATAAATATCATTTTAGAACTTGAAATTTTGGAAAGCAGAGATAAAAATTGGACTTGATGTTCCATATTATGAAGATGAAGTTCTGTAAATACACTACATGAAAAACTACATTCTGCAACCAATTTATTAGCAACTAACCAGAATTAGTTGCAGAAAGGCTACATTTACCAACTAAATTGCCATTGGTCGGGGCAAAGATGATTAAATTTTCGGGGTCCACATGTTCCAACTTTTGGTTTCTAAAGTTAATGTTCTGCGACTATTTTGTTAGTCGCAGAACAGGTAGCTTTAGTGACTAATAAATTTAGTTGCAATTTTTGGCCGGCGATTTTCCCTCCACAATTTGACAATTTGCATCTAAAATATTATATTTTGCATCTGCATTATTGGTTACAAAAAAACAATTTTTCGCCACTACCCCTTAGTAGCTAAATTAGTTACAAATAATTAGGAATTTATTAGTAATTATTATGATTAGTTACAGAAAAATGAAATTACCAAAATATCCCATATTTGGACAATAATTACAAGGGCCCCAAGGTATTTTTAGCAACAAATGTTTGTGTTCATATTAACAATAGTTGCAAAAAATTATATACAACAACTAAATTCGGTTTAGTTGCCAATTTAAGTTGAAAAATTCATGTTCCCCCCAGATTATTAGTTCCTGCCAGACTTCAATTATAGGCAACTATGACTAATTCTTTCCTGACTAAATATTTAGTTACAAATTGATTTGTTTGCAAAATATAATTAAATTTAAAAATTAAACAACTAATTAAAA